TCACACTCACTCACTCATTATCTTATTCTCTCTCTCCCCTTTTCTCTCGGTGTATTCCTCTCTCTCCCTTTTTCTCTCAGTCTCTTCCTTGCATCCTCTCGCGATACTCCCAAGTGCTCCGTCCCAAACACTCTTCCCTCGGTCACGCTTCAAACTCCAAGCAGCATACTCTGACAAACTTCCATTCCCACATAATTGTATCGCCTTCTCGAAATTAAAAATTTCAAGAGTTAACAACAAGTGAACCAACGAAGTTGGACCAACATGAAACGGAACCCTTAATTAGAAGCTTTCTTGTTTTCCCTGAAAGTTTGGAGAACGCGATTCGTTTGACGAAAACCACCGGTTCAAAGCCGAACCAAACTTCAATCCTCGTCCCGAGGAGACACGAACGTCAGTTTGTAACACTTCTTTCTGATACAGTCGAGGAGTAAAGGGGAGAGATTATAACGATGAAATTGATGCGACGGGTAAGAAAAGTCATGAAAGTCGGGTAAGAGCTTCGACATGTCTTTTCTCTGCTCCTGCCCTGCCCCCCTCAGACTTACAATAAAGGATACGGCTTGTTCTTGACGTCGAGTAGGAAGGGATTGTGAAAGGTGCGACAAGCGTAGAGGTATCGCTTACGTGCTTCTAAGGACGTGTTTTCCTCCGTAGGGAGTGAGAAGGGTAGCGTTGAAGGTGGGAACATCTCTTCCACTATCGAGGATTCAAAGGATTGAGTATAGGGAACAGTGTGTTTGGTATCGTTGCGAAGGAATGTCTTTTTCTTAGCTGGTCCTTTTGTACAGAGATCGTAAGCTTAGAGTTCTTGACAAGAAAAAAGTGCTTGCCTTTGTACTTATTAATACACTTGCCACGGTTAAGGGTGTTCTATTCCTGTCGTAACCTTTGCTTGGTGACCATGTGCCTGTAAAAGTATTCTCATAAAAATATTGTCACATTACTGCACAATATTATTACCATATTTAAAATATTATTAATTTATATACATAGGAACCATTTAGAAGCCAAAATGACTAACTCTGTCCAACTAAATTTATTAAATTTTCTTCATTTACCAAAATTAGAAGAATATAGAAAAGTGGAATTAATCATTTGTGCTTCTCAGTGGATCATGTAGTATCTAGATCGCGAACGATATCTTAGAGATCTTCGTTTTACGTCCATTTTTCGTCTAAATTTTGGTATTTATATTTTGGTATCCAACGTATAAAAATTACGTCGTTAAGACGGTTCTAAGATAATTCTAAAGCCAGCGCATGGCGCTTGGCAGCGCCTCGTTTCAAAGATATCTTGATTTGTAACACTGGACGCCTCGTTCGGACGTCTTTTGGACATCTTTTGGCTTTTACTCGACGTCTTTAAGTCGTTCTCAAGACGTCCGTATGCTATCTGGGGTAATAGTGCGTGTCACGTTCTGGATTTAAAAACTCGTTCGCAATTGCTGCCTGTAATATTGGGCAGCTTGTTCAGAATTCTGGAACGAGGAGTAGAATCGATACTAACGAGTCGCTTTAGTGCATGTTTAGAGATACAGAATTCTACGTATCTCGCATCCAAAAATGTAGAATTTGTTCATTTGTTAATGAATCAACAAACATTGCTTTCGCTAAAATTATAAACGTTAAAAGTTGCACAAAAAAATTGTAACATTTCATCTGCAGCGGTAACAATAAAAATTCCAAGTGCAGTATTATACATTTTACTTAATAATATTTTAAACGTGGTATAAAACGGTTGGTAAGAGAAATGCTAATAAATAATTAACCAGAAATTTTCCATTTTAAAGTACTAATTATTTATTCACGCTGGTCTTTCATATTCTTCCTTTTTTTCGGGCGAAGTGTTCAACGTGAAAATATACATTTCAGTATTCTGCTGGCGTTCTGCTTTTGATATCAGTAGCACGAGAACTAAATTTTAAACGTTAAATGCTAGCTGCAGCGTGAATTTCATGGCATTATAAAATTTTCGACTAGCTGTGTAGTTTCCCTTTATAAAACTTTCCTCTTCATTTTCCAAAAATTCCACCTCTCGTTCGCCTTCTCCATTTTCTTTCCTTTATCGCTTGCGCTTGTTGACGCCCTTTTCGCTAAATCCAATTTACTACCTTAGAAATGCTCTTTAATCCAAAAAAAAAAAAAAACAAACATTAACGACGCATATTCCGATCTGGTATTCTTTGAAACCGAGAAAAAAAGCCGCTTATCTTGACGAGCACTCACGTTTGTCTCTTCAAGCTGTTTCGCAAGAGAGCAGTTTATCAAAAAGGAGGAAATTCCCTTGGAATTAAAAAGTTGCCCCGAGTATCGCGATAGGGGACGAGATGAGATAAGATAGAAATAATTAAAATTGTCGTCGACGTATGCAAGTAACAATTTGAAATAATAGTTAAGCGCTAGTTCGATCGTTTCGCGAGCCACTTGCACGCGTGATATGCACACTTTATGTTTGGCTAACAAACTAGAAGCTGCTTGCGCGCGAGTATGCTTTCATTTCGGAACGAGTTTCTGGGTCGTAAGTTGGCGAACTGGTGTTAAAGTTTATTACTCATGGGACAACGTATTATCTGCTGTTACCATTGGACAATTAATTATCACGTGATTAAATGGAATTTTCGCGTGTGCTCTTTGATTTCGCCTCGCTGCCTTTCTCGAATCTGGGAAAACGAAATTATGCGAAAATCGTACCGCGACACCGGAATTTGTCACATTAATCGTTCGGTGTCTCGAGAATTCTCTAACAAGCAGGTGTTTGTTGCACGTTGAAAAAACTTTAGTCGTTGCTTGCGGAAAATAATTTATGCAGAATATGTCGAAATTTTTAATAATAATAAATACATATACACTCTCTATGAAAAGCGTGTTCGTGAACTTCACTAGAAATTATTTAGCGTTGTATAATTTCTACGAAGAAGGTAGTAAATAAAATAATATGTACGTTATTATATTTATTGTATTTAGTGGAATGAAAAATAATTTACGTTACTACGTTTATTTTATTTAACGCAAAGAAGAAGAATTTACGTTCGTTTGTTAAAAATTAAACTAAGGAAGAAGAGTAACTTCTGAAAATTTGATCGAAATTGGGGATTGTCACTTCCAGAAGTTCCCCTCTGAGTGTAATTCTACATCTTCTTTAGACTCACCTTTTAAATGTAATCTCACTTCGGCAAACAGCGAAGCATCTGAAACCTAAGCATCTCAACTGTTTGATTTCCTAATAAAAATGATCCGAATGGTATTACTACGAGCACCGATACGAGAATAGATTTGAAACGTTACCGTAGTGGTCTGATTCAATAAAGTAATTCCCAGAACAATACACTGCTTCAAGTATCAATAGATTTCCCAATTAAACGGCGCATCATTAGTTGCAATCTCGAATGTAGGGTATCGTGCAAGCGAAACGAAGGAGTAAATCGAATTTTAACAATGGGACACGTGCTTAACTCACAGTAACCTATTTAAACTTTGATCTGTCGTATTATTAACTTAACCTACTACTGACACTCACAACTAGACTGCAGATTTGTCTCGATTTGTAGAAAATTTCAAGACACGAAAATACACGGAATGCACGTAAACAAGAATATAGAAGTAAACCCGAAATATAGTACTCTATTTTCTTTTTCATTATTTTCGTGAAAATATCAGCGGTTCAATGCAAAAGTGGTGTAAGCGAAATTTTTGCCTATTCGATTTAGCACCACGTCTCGAAAGCTCAACCTTCGTTCTGTTTCGCGCAGCAGTGGTGTGAGTATGTCTTCATTAGTTTCTCGGTGGATGGCAATGACGTGGACGCTATATGCAAGAATGGTGTAAGTCGGTCTTTGATGCGAGATAAATGACATTGGACTTCTGGATTTCGAAGAAGTGAGCGACGAATAAGAGCTTGACGTTATCGCTGTTCACGAGGTTTCTGTGCCCATGCTGTGCAGTATTTTTCGATTTATATTCGTGACAATGTAAACCACATTTTGTTCATTCTTTTTTAATAATTCGTCTGGTAATTAACAGCGTTTGAGTGCCGATGGAATTCGGCATCGAAATGTGCCACCGCATCGAGCCAAGAAGTGTAAATTTTACTCTATTTCTTACAAACTGTCTATTTTCGACAAAATTGAATAAAAATCCTGCACATAATCAATTTTGCCTTTGTTTCGTGTTATGTCCAAACAGTCGTATTCAGTGAAAATGTCGAAAACGAAATTTTTGTAATTTTTCGACATGAATTTTGGGTCAGATTTCTGAAACAACCCGTGGCACTCAAACGGTTAATAAAGCAGTCGCTAATCTAAACAGATCCCTCTTTTATCACATCTAACAATAATTATCTTCCCGGTTCGCACGAAAATAGTGTGAATCGGAAGAATATTGAACAGAATGATTATATATACACTACTGGCCAAAAATTTGGAATCACCTGCCAATTTACGTCAATATTGAATCCGCTATTAATTCTTTATTGATTTGAAATTGATGTTGTGGAGATCAATGGCGAGTGGAAAAATTCGTTAAAAAATTATTACAAGTGCTAACTCTTTTTTCGAGAATTTTGGTGCAACTTGCAATGCATAGTGATTCCAAACATCTGGCCGGTAGTGTACACTTAATTTTCGGGGCAAAATGGCATTATTAGGTTAAGGTGTAACTACACAGAGGCTTGCATAAAAGAGATTTAACATTCGTTCATATTCCTGAATTTTATAGAACTTTTACTTTAACCCTCGATATCCAGAAATCGCCTTTTGTCACTTACACCATTTTCGCGTTAAAAAACGGTTCGTACGAATTTTTGCATAAAAATGTATAATCCACTCGCAATATTTCCATGTCCACAAACATTCTTTCCTCTTTCGATTTTCAACTGTGAAAAGTGTATATCTGAACGACCGCTAAAAACGTAATTTCCGGAAGTACACCGATAAATTATACGCAAAGAGAGGGACGAAGTATCTGACACTAAAATGGGCAATTTTATTTTTCATGTTGCAGGACTTCGTCACGGGTCTGAGTATACTGTCTCGTGGTTCCATCGACGAAAAACTACGCTGGACATTTTCCCTTTATGATATCAACGGCGACGGCTGCATCACGAGGGAGGAAATGACGGACATCGTGACAGCTGTATACGAGCTGATGGGGAAATTTGCTGATCCGAATTTGGACCACGAGGGAGTACGCGAGAAAGTAGATCGAATGTTCCAGGTACGAAGTTTTCATACTTTTATCTATACACAAGGTAAAAGAATTTCAAGCAAAAGTGTAGGTACAGCCTCTGACTTTATTGCAAAGTAGAGCAAAGTATATAAGAGTGGTTGATTTCCCTTTTTCGCATTCGATTATCTGAAATTTGGGTTTTGCAGCGGTGAAGGTGTTAATTAGGAATTAATTGCAAATTCTGATTCTATGTGAAGTTCTTGCCAAAGCGTGATTTTCAATTGCAAATTGTGTTTCTATGTGAAATTCTCGTTAAACTGTGATTTTTAATTGCAAATTGTAATTTTATGTGAGATGCTTATGAAATCGTGAGTATTTATCGAAGAGTGAAATTCCATTTTCAAATAACGATCTTCAGAGCTACAAAAAATTTTATATTTCACATATTTCGAATAAATGACGGATCTATCTTAATTATTCTAATACTTCAAGAGTAGTTAATATTTATCAAATATGATTTTTTTAAATACTGACTTTTACACTAACATGAAATATTTAATTTCAATTCTTATTTTCTACCATTAAACTAATACACAAGAGTACATAATCGCTTACCTTTAGCACTAAAAGAATTTAAGTGACATTTTTCACAGTTGCTAGAAAATATCTCAAGATACAAAATTTTAATTTTGCATTGTAATTCTTCTTTTTCCGTTTTATTTTCCAAATTTACTAAAAAAGCAAAAGTGTCAGGCTCTATATTTTTAATTTTCCTTATTAGCATATTCAATCTTATTTAAAATAAGAAAATTAGTTTCACGATAAGCAATTTATTTTATAATGAAAAACACACTCACACACACGATAACATAGATGTTACTTCAAAGAAAAATTGCTTCATTTTATTTTCAATAATCTCTGGCAAATTTGACTCAAAATACTTCACAAGTGTATGTGCAAAATGTACAAAAGGATATCAGTTGTACCGCTAAACATTCGAATTGCTTTTTTTCTGAAAAATTCATCGAGTAGCTTACAATTGAGGCTCCAGTATATTACGGTAGCTGGAAAAATCGAAGAGCTGCTCGATGAGCTTTCATCGCAGAATGTAACAAAAGACAGAAAATTCCCACAGGCTTTGACAAGATTGTTTGTTCGCTTTGACGAAGGAAAACGAGTGGCTACTCGTAAAGCACCCATCAGCTTCAATGATACAAGAATAAGCCCTTCTTTTTAACAACTGTCACACTGTTAGCCGCGAATAAAAGACAACGAGATTCATTTTACAGAGACCAATTTTATGAATATCTTCGATCCGATACAAACGAGTCAATTCTTTCCTCTATCTTGAGACGTACTAAATTTCAAGCGGTCTCTTTTCCTTTTTCCCTACTGCAGAAAGGGTAGAATTGAAAGGTAGCTGCGTATAAAAAATTATACACAACTTTTAACAATGTCTAATTTAAAAGGAAATTTTCTTAAATAAATAGAGCATAAAGAATATTAATTTTTTTTTTAAATTCAGTTTTAACGTCGCGTTTGGAGTAAATATATAAAAAATTCGATTTTATTAGAGAACATTAAGTCCAGTAGAAAGGAGAATACTTTCAGTATCAAAATATATAATTCGATAATAAAATATTTTACTTATTTGCTGCTTTACTTAGTTTCCATGTTTGATCAGATTTGCAAATAAAAATGTTGAAAGACTCGCCAAAAGAAAAGCGCAAGGTAAATTCGTATTACCAGAAATTAGATTTTATTATAGAACATTAAGTCCCTTAGAAAGCAGAATACTTTCAGTATTAACAATTGTACGCCCCATATTTGCTTTTATTTTCGTGAAATATTTTCAGGAAAAAAGTTACAAAAAAAATATCGCTATAGTCCTACCTTCGAAAAAACTTTTGCATATTTTTCGCACCTCGATTTTCGATTAGAAAAAAATGGCAAAGAAATTGCAAGAAATACGACACATAGGTACACACATGTACAATTTACAAGTGAATAAATTACTACACAATTCGATAGTAAAATATTTGACATACTTTCTCTGTACACTAAGTATTATCTAATCATTTCGATGTAGCTTCCCTATTTGACAAAATTTGAAGCGCAAAGAGGAAACGTTAAAAAATTCTGCAAAATGAAAAATGCAACGTGGATCCATTGGTAAAACTGTACACGAAATACAAGGGTAAACGGCTTATTTATGGCTGCCGATTTTCGTGCTCAGATATGAATGCACATACATACATGTATACATTACACAAAGTGGCAAGAGAACTAACGGACAAAGAAGAGAGGACAGGTAGGAAGGAAACTACTAGAGTGCAATTCTGACACGGAATCGCATTGTAAAACTTGCAGTCACGTACAACTCCTTCGTGCAAGAACTTTAATTATGTATAATTAACTGGGAGCTTCAGTTTTCAAAAGGCTTCGACATACGCAAACATTCAACGTTATGTAGGTATTACTTCGTATCCGATGATTTTACAACTTTACGGTGGAAACGTGAAATTGAACCGTGAGTAGGAATTATTCGTTTAAACTTGGCTTTATAGTAAAAAATGTTGAAGATACGGGAGAATTCGATTTCGTAATTCTAGCCTGAAGTGTCATTATTTAGGTTCTCTTAGAGATTTTTTTGCAGAGAAAGTATGAGACTTTTAGTATCGACTTTTTTTTCACACGTGTTCATTTACATTTGAGGAATACTCGCTATTTTTTTCAAGTGAAAATAGTCCAAATTGACTGAATTATAAATTATTTAGTACGGTCCTTTAAAAAAAAAGTGTTCTACTGGCTGACACGATTTCGGGCTATTTTGCTTATCTGAAACGAAAAAGCTAAAAAGAGTCTCGATTAGAGCGAGTGTGGTTAATAACTATTATGTGAACCAGGATAAAAAAGAAGTCGATTTTTTTAAAGGTCTACACTGTAATACTCAAGTATGTTGAATAAAATCTTGAAATATTGCTTTCATTAAATTCGAAAGATTACAAAAATTGGGCAGGTATCAAGAGTGCGATATAACTGTTCGAACCAAACACAAGATCGTACTTTTCAACCTTAACGTATGAAAATCTTCAAAAGTAGCAATTTGATTAATCTAAATTTTTCGGGAAATTCATACTTTCCGTAAAAATGTGATTTCTCTGCTTTAAAGAAAGAAAACAGCTAGAAACTAAGAACTGTAACACGAAGCAATGGTCATATTTCCAAGATAAAAGATTCCAAAAGATAAATCCTATTTTATATCGTACACTAAACTTTGTTTAAACGTAAAAGCGCTTATTTCCAATTTGCTTTGTTAATCCGTAGGAGTAAATTTCTTTCTAAGGTTTCGAAGATGCAAAAAGCAAAGCGAATCGGTGTTTGTCATAGTTCTGTATGTCGTTTTGCTAACATTAGCGCGTGCAGCCATAGATTAATCGATGTAGGACAAACATGAAAGAGGTAAAGAGGGGCGCGACATAAGAGGAAACGACTTTTTCGAGACTTAAACGACCTTTTAGCAAGCTTCTCATCCCATTAAGTTCGTAAAACAAATTTCTTGCAACGATGTCCTCGTTTTCTCGCTATGCAACGATTGTAAATCAAACAGCCTGGGAAAGAATGCAGGCAGATGGAAGAGGGAAGTGACAAATGGCAGTAGAATTAATTTTCACAGAGAAATAAGAATAACAAATAATTTGAAAAATAATTGTATCCCCTTGTAATGCCATGGGACTTGGAAGTTACGTATCCATTTATCTCCATTCTATAGTCTCGTTTTATTCAATTTTGTTATAATAATTACAATTTACAAATTCACAATTTTTCTGCAGTAATTATTTTTTACTTTCATTCTGGTGTCTCCCACGAGAATGTAAAATTGTAGCCAACCATAATTTTACTTCTCATGAACGAAGAAAAATCAGGTTATAGAGGGTTAAAGTAAAGAGAATGAACACGTTAACGACAAATCACGACAGACAGAAGCGTAAATTTTGCGCAAATTTTTCTAATTATTGCGAAATGGAACGCTGGAATATAATTTCACCGGGATATAAAATTAACTGATATATTCGAGATTGAATAAAACGCAGATAATCTTCTGCACCGGGTATCGCGGAAACTGCGAAAGAAATTGAACATATACACTACCGGCCGAAACTTTGGAATCACCTGCCGATTTATATTAATATTGAATCCGCTACTGATTCTTTATTGATTTGAAATTGATGTTGTGGAGATCAGCAGCACTTTATCTCATCTCGATTGATTTGAATGATAAAAAATTCGTTGGCAAATTATTATACCATTTTTGGGGAATTTTTGTGCAACTTGCAATGCGCAGTGATTCCAAAAATTTGGCCGGCAGTGTAAGGATACAGAATGTTAACGTCAGCATTCTGACATTTCCATTATTCTGGAAGTGTTATGAAATTCGTGCTCAATTTGTAAATACTTTCGTTCAGTTGACAGTGGAAAGATGAATGAAACTTCATCTCATTTCAGAAAATATCGATTATAAATGTAAATTCATACACTCATTTTTAACAAAACAAAAAAATTCTCCTTCAGATTACTCGCAGTAGCTCGTGATATCTTCTAAGATTACCAGAAATTCATATTTCGTGCAATAGATTTTCAAAAAATATCAATAATGACAGAATTCCAGAATAGTTTGCAAACATTTGGAACATTGGAGAAGCTGTAACGCTTTCAAAACTGGCAAATTCTTTCTTACATATTCTAGAAAACATAAACTGATTTGCTCGTCACGTCACCGTCCACCCAGCAAATTTACTATAACAAACACAGATCCTTAACGAGCAAAGTTTGCTGGTCCAGGAATCGTTAAGAAGCAAGTTGTCAGTCAGTCTGTTAGTTAATGCTTCAAAGGGTGCTGAAAGTGAGTTGCAGTGCAAACCTGCAGAGACAAACTACCCTAAACGAAATATCGCGAACCATCGCTAAATCCTACTCTCCTTCGATAACTGATGATGAACACGTGCATACGCATTAAACTTGTTAATCCTTTCATCGTTATCGGCTTTCATCTGTAAACGCTTTGAAAATCTCCTCGTACCACTGTGCTACTGCCACTTTTTTCCCCTGAATTCAATGGTTAATTTTACCCTTTGCGTACTTCCATTCTGATCGAATAAAATCGACTTTGAAAGACTTTGCGGGCACGATTGAGTGTCTATCGTTTGCCACGCGCGTCGTTCGCTGAAATCTGCCCCTGTGAAAGGGTTAAACGTACACACATAGAGTGAACAGCACGTACACGCACGCACACGTGCAAAGAGAGATGAACAAATGGAGAATTTTAATAACGAAGTGGGAGACGCAGGTTGCATTGAAACTCCTCTGACACCTCTGTCCTAACAGTGCTTTTTTCTTCTCACACACACATATACCGGAGGTTGAACGAACAACGGTGATGCTTCGGTGACGCGATGAGATCAATCGGTGCTAATTAATCAGGGAGAAAGCAGATGTAACTGATACGAGCCACATGCAGTTCGTTATCCCGTATAGGCTTTTAATTAAAAACGAGCGACGTATAAACCGTAGAGAATGGATCACGGTGAAATCAGTTCCATTGTTTCTGAAAACCACCTGCCGAACTTTCGAGAGCTCTTTATACCCAGTCAAACATGTGGTTCGTGATGTATTTAAAAACAGGGTCAAGCGGATTCAATGATGCGCAAATAAGTTCGGAACGGTTATTCGCGGCGATGAATAATGTCGGGAAACTTTAAATAAACGAAGATACCTGCCTTACCTCGAACGGTGTATGTATTTCGATATTTTCTGTTCTTAATTGAGAAATTTTATATTTGAAGTAACCTTGTTGCTATGTGTTTGTTGTTCGAGTCTTTTGGTGAACTTCTTTATGTTTGCGAATTAATTAGCGATAACGTTTCAATCAGATGCGGTGAGCATTTGAAGTTACTTCAATGATAACGTTATTTTTCAATTTTAACAATGAAATTAAGAAACTTTTAAAATAATCCTATTTTTAACTAAACTTTCAGTTCAAATAAAAGGGCACTCGTTCTGTATCATTTTTCTAACGAAAGCAGGTCTTTGTGCGATTTTAGGTAACAATTGAGCCACTCAGAGGCCAAAGTGACTAACTCCGTGAAATAAAATTGACTAAATTTCTTTTATTTATGAAAAATTAAGCACCAAGCATGTGCCTCGATACTAAAATTGGAAGAATATAAAAAAGTGGAGTTAATCATTTTGCCTTCTGAGTGGCTCAATTATAGTAAATCGTTTAGTCAAATCTACGCAAGTACAAAGAAGTACGCATACAATTTTAAAAAATAAACTTAGTAAACTATCGATATAATACCAATTGCTATTAAATTCTCGTTTCAATTTATTTTTCATGTCACGAACATTTTCAATATCGTTCAATAACGTCGCGCTCCTCTCCAGCCACAAAGAAATTTAACCCTTTCGTGACCAAAGAGACGCACACGTCGCACTCCAGTACTCCCACGAAAATTCATCTCAATTCGGTATTAATTAGTTACAAACTCTATGATCGGTAACCAAATTTCAAAAAAAAAAAAAAAAAATTGTGAGAAATGTAAAAGAAAATACACTTTGGTCGCGAAAGGGTTGAAAGGTAATAACCACCTGATTCGCTCGTGCAAAATCATGGTAACGGTGTTTTAGACCATACGTGATTCAATCTTACGACTACACGAAGCACTGTCGATAGTACTTTGTACTACGTATGAAGTTCTTGAAAATAAGCAGTAGGTGGTACTCATAGTATTCGATTCCTGCAGTTTGCGAAACACGACCTCAGTTTGCACACGACCTTTGTAGATACAATCCTTTTGTCTTCCAACATCGCTGTTAGAATACTAATGAGTACCGACGTTTTCACTGCGAACGGTAACCATACCTACTTTGAATTTTCCTTTCAACCAAAGTACCAACAATTGCTACTAACACAAAAGTTCTTACGAACTGGTTCAGAATTCTCCGTAACAGTAATTAGTTTATTTAGAAATTTCGTCTGTGGAATAATATATATAATTTCGATGTGTTAACGAGCGATGTGCGGATGAATGCTTTCGTTCAATTGCTGCAGCTTTCGTTATACACGCTGTTCCACCTAATTTACATAGATACCTCGAATAAATTCGACAAATTCTACATTGCGCGTTGTTCACTTTTTCGATAATATTAATTCTGCAAAATACGAAACCTTGCAACAATACAAAAAGCCTGTAAATATGCGTAGAAATGGTACCGAATCGGGTAAATACACCGTGGGTCATGTTCATTTTATTTGATTCGCTCGTCAGGAACGTGTACCGTCAAATTTTATCATCCATATTAATTGAAAATAAAATTTCCACGAATTTTTAGTACTCGCTGTGTATATTACAATTTAGGACGAGGAAGAAATCCTTTTCACATGTTGGAAGGTTGAAAGGAGAGAGAGAGAAATTGAAAACTAAAGTTCTGTTCGTTGAGATTTTTTCCATTAAACGTGGAAATTCTTCTTGATGCCGGAAGTATGCTCTTTTTCGCATTGAAAAATATTAGAAAACACAAAATTTTGCGCCATTCTGTGTAGTAATTGATTACACATCCTTGATCCTTAATTAAAAGGATTACTCGGTCGAACTAAAAAGGGGACGTAAAATAGGATACAAATTGAAGCGACAAAAGTAAGCTGTACATTTCCTTCTGTAATGGTTAAATCGATCGAAATGCGCGTGGGTATAAATACAGAAGCTTGGGCAACAATTTCGCGCCCGGCCTCGATAACCGCAATTAACGTAAATGTAAGTGTTGAGCTGCCATAACAAATTATCGCTTGTCGTTAAACGTGATTTCAATTAATCCGGAGCAACAGAACGTGCTAATGAATCCTCGTTTCCTTCGTATAACTGCTACAGGCAATGCTCGACGAGAGAGACAGTGGGCGGCGATGATTTTGCAATTCGCGCGCTTCCTACTAATAGATTTGCCATTGTACCGATCTAAATTTTCATACGTGCGTAGAACGCGCGCAACAATAACCAACTTTCGCCTGTATTATCCCTCTAAGGGGGATTCGAACCGACAAATTATGTCAATAACTGGACTATAATTACCGGTCGGTAATGCAACGGTATCAATCGTCCTGATTTCAATGTCTATTCATGGATCAAAATACTACCCAGGCGTATTTCTATAATTGTCGAGGATGGATCACGTGAAGCAGGCCACGTAATTATCTTCGCTAAAGTTGCACCGGTGAGAGAGAATTTTTGAGGTTGAGTTTGAAGAGTATATTTTTCGATGGAGGAAATGGGAGAAACGATAGGAAGTTTCACGTTTGATTTGCAATTCTAGAGTTTATGGTCAGTTTGAATGCAAATTAATGTCATTATTATCACGTTACGTGAAGAAGGATAGGTGATCTTGAGAAAGAAACAGAAAAATGGCCTTCGAAGGTATTTAAATTAAGTATGAATCGATTCTGGTACCACTGTAGCTAGAGAAGATAATTAAGCGACCTGTTTTACACATAATGCAACAAAGAATACCCTTTGCTTCGGGGAATCAAGTGTTTTTGAACGCAAAGATGAAATTTTATTTAATGGAATATGGGCAAATTTGTCATGTGAAAAGGAAGGATCGAAACTATTTTATATTTAGTAAATTTGAAAGCTGCTGTTAATATTTCCGACTACAAGCAAAAGTGCAACAAGTATCAATTTTGTCCAAACACTACATAGGACAATCCCTGAATCCTTGAACAAACAGAATTGTACAATTGTCTGAACGAAAGAAAACGTAAATCTTTAGATACACAATACTTACACCAATTGTCCCAATTTTTCCAACATAGAAAATCATCAACTACGAGAAAAATGCAAGAAACATCAGTTTCATCCAAACACTGTGCACAAGATAATCCTCGAACAAACAGAATTGTACAATTATCTACAAAAAAAAAATCCTTAAACACATTTGCACCGTTGTTTCAGTTTTTCTTTCTTATTTCGCGACACAGAAAATCATACGCTACAAGAGAAACGCGAGCAACTCAGAATTTTATCCAAACACTGTGCACAAGACAATCCGCGAACAAACAGGCTTGTACAATTATCCGAAAAAAACGCGCGTAAATATTTGCGACTGTTGCAGAAAATGGATGGGAACAAAGACGGAGTAGTGACGTTGTCGGAATTTTTAGAGGCGTGTAGCGCTGATCCGGATATTTCGACGAGTATGGCAGCTCTGGACACGGCCTTCTGACACTCGGTGCGACCACAGTACACACCATGGACCTGAAGAGATTCTGTCGATTTCGAAATAAATCGCTCAACGTTGTACCTTACCTCTTGGACCAGGGGAAAGAATTTTCCGCAAAGGTGTATTACGAAGATCCCAAGCGACAGAGAACACGACACACTCGCGTTTACGTGTGCGAATTTCCGGAGTCGACGCGTCTCGGGGGGAAGGGAAACGATGTAGATTTTTTGCTGTAATTTGTTCGAACACGGGTAAGAGTGTGTTAGTCGCGTTTAGAAAACGAGAAAACCAAAAAATAGGGGGAAAAGCGAAACGACACGTCGCGTCGCGTCGCCTTTTTTTCGGCCAAAACGATTCAAACATCGAACGATACGCAGAAATTGATCTACCCGCTGCAAAAAAAAAAACAAAAAAAAACAAAAAAAAAAGAGAAACAGGTCGAAGAAAGCGCGGGAAATTCTCGCGACGAGTAGAGAGAGATTGCCCTTTCGAGATTCGTAGTTTCTAGTTTTGTCCAGTATGCGCGTATCGCTAGAGTACGAGAGATGATTAGACGAGGGAAGATTAAGCAAACAATGAAAAACCGCAAAAATAACGAAACAGAAGAAAGATACTATATCGATGGTTAGTAGTTGCGATCCGTTTTGCAGTAGTTCATTTTTGAGAATCGCGCGCTACAAACGATGAATGAAAGATAAATGCAAATTCAGAGAAACGAACAGAATATACACGGAAAGATTCGTAACGACGAGGCCAAGAGAGATGTTGGTGTTCAATTGAACGAGCAAAATACGAATTGTAATTTTGGTGCAGTACCACCACAGTGCGTCTTAAAAATAGAGAGAAACGACGAAATTTTTCCAGTGCATCTTCGAACGCGAAGAAGTGAGCGTACGGTAAACTATTTGACACTCAGTTATAACAATCGTACGCGGCATAGTTCGTGCCAAAAAACAAAAAACAAAAAAAAAAAATATATTTGTATAGAGGGAGAGAAAACGATGGAAAGCGCGGATATTCGTGTGAATTATTTGTATGAAAATAATTGAGCTTAGCTTACAATTATTTTCGCTTTTACGATACCTTTTGTTTAGAAACGAGGAAAAAACGAATACGAACAAGATAAGTGTACTCTCACGTTTTTAGCGACATGTTTTATATCCCAGAGGAAACGCAACATGCACGGTATTGTAACATGAATTCTTAATGATCTAACAATAATAACGTAGTCTAGTTTTCTACGACAACCATATTTTTTTATGACGATATCGTTTGTCACGTCGGAACCTTAGTGATTAAATTTCCAAATTTCGTTTCAACGGTATCCAGTCCGGTATAGCGATTAAGCGCTGCTTAAAATGAAGGAGGCAAGGAGGCGAAACAAGGCTATATTGATTTATTTATCACGAGAAGGCATGTTAGATTTTATATAATTGCGTAGCACAGAAACGAAGAAAGCAAACTCGAGGTAGAGACTCGAATTGAATTGAAGGAAAATGATAAACGGTTCTAGACTTTATCCGGTGATCTAGCAACGCGATCAAATTCTCGATCACCGATAGATTTTCAGTTGCACAACGAGACATTGTGGCAAAGCGGAAGTGCATGGTCGAGTGTCGTCGTACGTTAAAAACGGGTAGCAGTAGAAGAGATCTTTCGGTACGAACGATTTTTAACCGTAAACGAACGCGCGCGAATCGGTGTGCTTAAGAAAGATTGAAGAAACACTCGTCGGGTGGAAATGGAACCGACGATAATGTGAAGAGACGAAGAGATAGAAAGGGGTGGGGGGGAACACAGAAGTAATTAGCATGAGACGTAGAAAGTATAAAAGAAAAGTATCGTAAAACTTGCTAGAGCAGCTGGTCATGTTGAGCGGGATTCGTTGTTTCTAGTACGTAAGTGAGTAGATTAAGCGATATTATAAAAATATTTATTTTTGTGACAGGTAAGTGAATTATTAATCGCGGTAAGAATTTAGCTCGTAAAGACTGCGTGCTGCTAAAGAGAGAGAACAAACGAGTAGAGAGAAATTGGGGAGAGAGATTGACGAGAGAGACAGAGAGAGAGAGAGAGGAAAGGTGAGAGAACAGGTGTAACGGTCTGTTGATTTCCCATTCGAAAGATCAGAGAACCCACGAATACCGAATTTTATTGTAATTACTAACGTTTTGCAATGACTGGACCAAAGCGTCCGCAACGGGCAATGCCGATTTACCCGAGCGAAATATATATTTAATCATTTTCCATCACTGCCTTCTTCTGATTAACTGTAAATAAGGGTTTGGTGTACTTGGACGAACGGGACGAGAAAAAAAACCATAGTTCGATGCGTTCAAACGAAACGAGAGACAGGGGGAGAGAGAGAGAAATAAAATATTGGAAGGTTGAAGTTCAGAGAGTGATTATGAGAGACCGCACGTGAATATTTTTCTTTCAGATTTTCGTCGTACATTTTCCTCCACACAACGCGTTATTGCCAGCCGCGAGGAAACCGTAGCTTCTATTCTATCCGAATCCTCCGTTATAGTTTCTTTCTTAGTTTGTTGACAAAGCAGCACGATGCGCCGATAACGAATTTTATGGCTGGAACGGACGAACGAGAGAATCGTTCGGAACGAATAAGAAAATTTCAAGGGGACGGACGAAAAAAAAATGAAAAAAAAGAAGAAGTCAGAGAGATATGGAAATATAGATTTTAGGCACGACGAAATACCGGATATAGAAGTTTCTCCGATTTTTAGCAGCGCCTACACCTTAGAACGTAAGATTTGCGTAGAGAAAGTGAGTTAAGCGTTGTCAAAACGTTGTCTCGTATCAATTCGATCACTACCGCATGTCTTTGAAGTTACTGAAGTAAGTATAGGAAAGACAAAAAATGGAACGGAGAAATTATGTTGATATTTTCAACTTTGATTCAATGTTAAATTTAGATGTCAGAAGAGAAGCATGAAACATTCCACGTTCGTACTGTTGATCGAGGATAGGGTATGTCTGATACGTTGATAGATTCCAGTTTTCTAGACTTTCCCAGGCGAAATATCTCGCGGATAAATTTTTGTCCATTCTATTATTCCAACGAGATATCGTTCGTTTTGCTGAAGTTGTCTTTCGGACGAGATTTCTCGCGTGTCTTTTCGCTGGGACGCAAAATAACTTGTGCAAAGAACGAAGTAGGTCGGAATTTATTCGCGAGATATCTCGAACGCAAAATTTTTCGGTAACTTGATGATTTTCTTTTGAGGGAAAATTATTAGAAATTTTGTAGTAAAATTTGTTTCGTAGATGATTTCTGTTATTTCTAAAATCGCGATCCCGTTATGTCATATTAGTTCTGTCCTATTTAGTCAACGCGCGTATAGAACTACATGCACACGTACACGAATACAAACAGGTAGGAAGTTTGGTAAAAGAAAATACCCGAACTGGTGTCGGAAAATTTGTTTTTATTCTCAATTGAAGTGTAGATCTCTGTAATATCTGTACACTGTTGATGATATCATTTCTTCACTTCTATTTAGAAACACTTTTGGGAATCCCCAGATCTGCTTTCCAATTTTCTCTTACCTCTTGGATCGTTTGAAAAGTCTTCCTTTTATCGAGCTTTTCAATTTTTCATAGGAAAAACAGTTGTACAAGACCAAGTTAAATGAGTATGCTGGATAGAGAATGAAGATGTCTTTGTTCCTCTTCGAAAACCTGAGACTGTATACCTCAATAAGTTCCATGCTAACAATCACCGGGGTAAAGGATATTAAATTACAAAGCCGCTGTAAGTCTTAAGGGAAATAACTTTTTGATACAAACTCAGCTCAAGTTAACTCAGAAATCGTGACATCGTATCACATTACCAGTTTCCTCTCTTGAACGTTGGTGGAAAGAGATATTAATATTTATTAAATATTCAATATTTCACACGTTTTTAGTATTTTGAGTATTAAATATTTTGCACATTTTTAATATTTTAAGTATTAAATATTAAACATTCAACAAATTTTAAGTATTAAATATTTTAAATTTTAATGTGTTATATATTTCTAATATTTTTAACATTAAACGTTTTGTATATTCTTAATACTTCAAGTATCCAATATTTCTTACGTATTTTCAATATTTTCAATATTCAATATTTAATAAATCTTAAACTACAGACACAGTCGGGATATTTTTCTTATCAAACTCGACACACATCCACACACACACACGCACACGCACACGTACATAGACACATTATCGCTAACAGTGAATTGTCTCATCTTACTTATAGCGTGTCTAGAGACTTGCGTCTGTAAAATCTTACATTTACGATTAGAAAGCCCTGACCGATAGTTGAAAATTATTGTACCCGGTCCGTTAGCCGAAATTATCACATACGTGTTTGACGTGTCTTTTAGAACACCTTGGCAACTGAGGTAACGCGTAAAAATGAAAAAGTATTCGGAAAGAATTAGAAAGAGAAAAAAGAAATAGAGCTCATGATAAATTTCAATTAAATTGGCGATCTCACTGAACACAAGCATTGAATTGTGACATTGTATGTAAGTACAAGTTAGATACACGCGTGAAACACACGATACATCACAGGTAACTTATCAGATACTTAGAAATCTTCTTCTTCTTCTTCTCCCAAGCAACATAACAAAGCAGAGTATTTTTCTGGTATTTTCCTAAGGACCAGAATTCGTATTTTCTAAAGCGTGATCAAGGGAAAATACCGAGGACGATTTTCTTTTAAGTTCACCAATGTAGACAATAAGAAACAGATTCGAAGTAACGTTCGTGTTGAAAATCGTTTATTAGGACATGCATCTCTCGCACTTAAACGGTCATTTTTTCGTTTCGTCGAATTTCACGGATACAGACGACAAATAGAATGTCTTTCCTGACGTGAGCATACAAAAGTAGAAGATACAAATAAAACTGACTTCGGGAAAAATTTGGAAAATGTAGAAAACCGTTGAACGATTCGAAATAAACAATCCGCAAAATTTCTACGTACTGTACATCTTCCAGAGATATTTTCAAACAGAGTTAAATATCATTGAAACCTCTCTGTTCGATGTATTTCAAATCACTTGAAAATTTCGGTAATTTTTCCATCGAGCGAGGAATAATTCTCGAGATTTGCAGGACTTCGTAAATTTATCTACGAAGTATGGAAAATCAAACGATAAAAGGGAAAGATAATAGGCAGGTTAACCCGTTCTTATCTATAAATGCTCGAAAGCACGTTCAATTGGAAAATTTGCTTTTCGGGGATTAAAGGAGGCCGAGGGGGGGGAACACTGAAGCGCGGTGAATCCACTTAGCGGAGGCATTAAGGTCGTTTGAATTTTTTTAAATGCCACGTGGTGTACTTTTATCTAGAGAATGATAAAGAGACGAGTTCAATGACCCCGTATGTTGTACGATTTTATTGGGAAATTGTGAAAATACACGGACGATATGTAAGTGAAGTCGGTAGGAACGCGTTTGATGGACCGGCGTATGCATCTTGCGACAAATATTTTAATATTTCAATGTCCTATCGTTCTGTAGAAAAAAAAAAACAAGTGTATACCACTCGCCATTTTAAAATTTGACCCTAGGTTGACCTTAATATCTCCACTAAGGGAATTTCAAATTTTAGTATTCCCCTTCGCTTCCTTTAATCCCCCAAAAGCAAATTTTCCAATTCGCCGTATTTTCCCAATTACAAGCGTTTACAGATTAAATAGGTCATCCCTCGTATATATATTTAAAATAATTGAGAAGATTTCAAATCGACACTACATGTGAAATCTGATTTTCAGTACATTAATTGGTGTCAGAATATTTATTGTCGGAACTACGTTCATTGTACGTGGAAAATATCCCATCGACATATTTCTTCATTTTTATAGAAATGAACTTGCAGAAATTTGTAAATTCTAACTTTAAAAGTCACCAAGGAGTTCAATTTCTTTCTAATTACAGAAATCGTTGCGTACAATGAACAGCTTTTCCGGATTGGTTGCACGTTAAACGACAAAAGGATCCGCGAGGGGTACAAAATGCATGTAATTATCTCGTCTATTTTAAACGTAGGCCGTATTATATTCGGATAGGATTCAACGATCTATCTTCTCTATACGAAAATCTATCTTCTTCTCGATAGCTAGTCGCATCTTTATGGAGAATATTTTCGGTGGTATCTACTAGATGTAGTATTGTAACTGCTAAATAGACAGAGAGATCGAAAGGGGATTGATCCGTGCAAAGGGCTCGATGTTCCGGAAAAAAAGGCGAAATGGGGTGGTGGAAAAATGTTTAAAAGGGTCATTGAGCCGTTCACGGTCTCGGCATCAATACTTAAAGAGAATTATTAAATAGAACTATGGAAGATTATGGTCAGGCTAAGCTTTTACTGGCTGACAGATGGTCCAATCGTATAGATTACCTATTCATTAAGAACAATATTAAGGGGCTATATCTAACTAGAGATCCGAGGGACGAGATGCAACTTCAGAATTTCTTCTCTTTTCCTTTTTGAATACAGATGAAAATTAAATTGGAACTTTTCTTAATTAAACGTTCCCGTATTTTTATTAAAAACGTTTGTAATTGTAGGAGGTATCGTTACCAAAGTAAGGCGACATTCGTTCTTCGTGAACTCGCTAATGAACACTGTTCAAGCCAAACTAAGTACCTAAAGACGAGAAAAAAAAAAGATGCAAGGTATTTTAAAAATAAATGGAACGTATAATATAGTCTTTAACGAACTTCAATTTTTTATTACTCTTTTTGTTACAAAATAAGGGCTGTTTGAGTGAAATGTTTTACTAGGACGTCGGCCATTTTGTTTGAAATTATAATTTCTAAGAACTAATGCAACGGTTCTAAGAATGTCCCGCTTGAATTTCAAGCGAGTGGATGAATTATTTCCGAAGATATCGATGTCCGCCGACTTGGAGGAACCTACTTTGAGAAATAACAGGTTTAAAGTCGGGTTGTACGCGTCCTGTTTCGCTCAAACTCCTTAAACTCCGTTAATCTTCGACGCATTAGTCTGAAATTGTCAGCGCACGTTCCTGAAATATCGGAGGTTCTTGAATGTTGTAAGAATCGGAAAATCAATGTTTGTTGGACACCTCTACGTAGATGTAACCTCTTAAACGAGGACATTAAAATGTAGCCTGACTGTGTTACACGGCGCACGAAAACCCGTATGACGAAAGCTATTACGCATTTTGCAACCGAGAAATTCGAGAAATAAATTTCCGTTTGATTTCTTCTTCTTTTTTTTTTTTTTCTTTTTGCGAGATGTAACGTTCATTTCGACGCGTACTTTTAAGCTTTCACGATCTACGATCCCAATTAGGTAAAACGCAAACGTTTCAAAAAAGTCTCGAAGATTTCGATAAATGTAAAATTGAAATTTGAAAGAAATTGAAACGCGTACCGCAACGAATGTTAATGTCGATACATTGATCGTTATTTTTCTCACGCGGAACAGGGAATTTCAGGGTGAATGAAGATACCAAATTTCGATTTGTTATATTTCAAATTTATTGTAAAAGAAATTCATTTGTACAATGTGAATCTTAATCGGTACGAAAAGTGACAATTGACGTAGATTTCTTCAGGAGGTAGGCGTTTCTCACAATCGGTCGAATCTTGAGTTTCACGACGAGAGTGTACAAGTTGCAGTGTTTCCAAGTGTTTTAACACCGGGGGAAAAAAAAAAGGTAATTCACTCGAAGCGTTCTATAAGATTAAATAACTTCACGTACACGTGGAGGAAGTTCAAGTAATCATACGTTTTTCATTATTGAGCAGCGTTAGTATCGATCTTTTCAAAGTAACCTACGTACACCTTGAATTAATCATTTCTCACTTCTATTAAATATTCATCGCTGAGATGAGATGCGATTTTTCAGGCTCCGTGTGCTAATCACAGCAAGTTGACAAAAATGAGAAAAAAAAGAACAAAAAAAGAATAAATAAATAAATAAAACAGAATATATCTACTTATACAACATGTTAAACGTGAAGGAATTTAAACAAAGAGGAAAAAAATGAGAGAAAGTGGTAAAAAATATTCATATGATGGTATATTTTCAATGTAAAGCAAGTGTATATGTAATATATTCGTGGTAAAACTACGTATATCTCGTAGCTTTAATGTACCAGGCGAAAGCGATCCTCTTTACGAACGCAAATTTCAAAAAAAAAAACAAAAAAAAACCGTTGCAAAATCTGACACGCAGGCGAATTCATATTTTTCATTTTAACGCCGTACAAGAGGATTTGTTTTCGATCGGTACAAGCATGTAATCGGACTATTCGTTTGAATGTTGATTGTTAACTGTTAGGATAGAGAAATTTAAGAAAACATGCCCTGTCTACAAGCATCGTGCATCGGGTATATCTGTTTTGTTGCATACAGGATTCTGTTGAATCGATTAAATTTACCTATTAAAATGAAACATTCGTTGTTACTTTAGTCACGTTAGATATATATGTTCTTGGAAACTTTGATTCATACGATATATGTAATAATCTTTCCACGTGTCACATACCGCAATATATATTGACATTTAAAAAGATTAATATTACTTTATTGTTTACACATATCGTCAAAAAAATTTGTGTCATGTATAATATCGATTATTCTATTAAAAACTTACAATATTACACCAGGCGTCTGGAGTCAATACCCACCAAATCCATTTCTTGTTTTAACTGTTTATTTGGAAGGTTCGTTGTTTATCGTGTAACCGACAAAGTCAAGCGAACTTGGCGTGCTTTGCCTTTGAGTGTCTCATACGCACTTGTACCAATATAAATGTTGTTAATTACAATTCTTCTAATCCCGCAATTAACATATTAATAACTGCGAATACTTTGGTTTCATTTGTATATCGGAATAATAATGCATTAGATTTTATTCACTTCTAATGTCATATGGAAAGGTTGCCCTTATTAAGTACTGAATTTGTAACTTTGTTTGATTTTGCGTAAGGAAGTGTATGCATATACTTCTTTAATTTATTTGTATCTTTCTTCAAGAAAATTTTAAATTATAATCAACTTTTCGGAAATGTAATTTAACGCAGGATGGAGTGTGTTTGTAATTTGTTCCAAAGGTGAATTGTTTAATTTGAGGATTACAGTCACTGCCATTGCTTATTTGCAACGAACTTTAGTTTTCGCATTAGAAATTTTGATACTGCCTGGAAGGGGTAACCATTAATATTGAACGAAGTTATATCAACGAAACATTTAAGTTCGTACTTACTGAAGTAAATTAAAGCTTTAAAGACGCACGAAAATATTTTTAGCGGTAAAATCATCGTTTGAAACGCTGCGTTCACAATGAATTTAATTATGAGAAAACCTAAATACTGATATAATTAATACCATAATTAATTATTGTACTATACTTGAAAGTGTGTAACTATTTTATAAATAAATACATAATCAATATTCGTCGTTTTATACCGTTTTTCTAACATTTTATTTACAAAAGACAAGGTACTAATACCTGAAAGAAAAAGTATACTTTGTAAAAGTCATTACCATTTTATTTTTTCCATCCATATTTACACAACTTACTTTATTTCTTATTATATTTAAAAATATTGCATAGAATACTATGAAATTTTTTTTTTCATGGTATTGTATATACTATTCTGTATATACTAACTGTTATTCTTAATGTGATACATAATAATATTGGTTAAAATACATTATCAAATTCCATGAACAATATTTTTTGTTAATATATTCACTGTCATTTCAACATAGAAATAGATGACACACAGTTCTTTTCAAGTATAAAGATTACAATATATTATAAGATTGTGTTTTTATAAAAAATGTGAAGTAGTCTACATACTTTTAAACCGCCTGACAAGACTCTGATTTCGTGAAAGATTCTGATTTCAATTTATTTGACAACTTGTAAGCAATATACTGCCAGTATTTCCTTCTTATTTTATCATGTTTCTCAGATAATTCTATACACAGCTAAAATTAAATGTAATTGTAAATAACATTAATAACTTACAAATATACAAATAAATATAAGAAAATAATACCTTAAGAGCATTATTAATATGAAATATTGAATTTGGTGATTCATCTGATATTGATCTTTCATCACAAATATCAATAATACATGCCAGTAAGTGACTGGTACGGAAACCATCATGGTATAGCTCTTCACATTTCCTTCTTACTTTCTCATTACAGCCCAAACCTCTGCTATCATTCACCAAAACACTAAAATGTAGTACATAAGACATATTTTAATTAATTTGTAGCTATTAGTCATATAGAAAATGATCATCAACAGTACCCTCTAAGGTAATTCCAAGCACTTTCATTGCCTTTCACTAACTGTATTTTATTCAAGGTGTAATCAATTTCCCTATCAATTATATTTTGTTCAAATTCCGTTGTATTACTTATTACAAAATAACGTTGATTCCAAGCAGAATTGTTCCGAACATCTTGATCCAATAATTCTTCTACATACTTCAATTCCTCATCGAACAAACTGCATATTATATAACATAAAAAACATTTATTATATCAGAAACAGCAGATTTAATGCAATAAATATATACAAATTATTAATGTTTAAATTAGAATTTAAAAAACAAAACAAAACAAGATGTACTAACTTAAACTTTTTTATGCACCATTGACGATGCTGCCAAACATGGTAATTCTTTGCATCTTTTTTTAACATATTTTCTGTAAATTCTAATTCTCCACTAGCATCTTGAAGGAATTCAACAATAACTTTTCTATGATGCCAAACTTGATAGTTTTTAGAATTATATTATATTATTTTTTTTCTCTCCTATATTGCCATACTGTGTAATTTGCTGGATTAAGCCTGATACAATCTTCTGTTAAAGCTAATGTACGCTCTGACTTTTCACCAGATTTTAGAATAGCTCTGAAATAATCATATGCACTCTGAACTGAAAACAGTAATGAAGTATTAGTAAATAGAAATATTAGAAAAATAAGGGAATTATTACAAGTC